AAATCACCCCCCAGGGGGGATGGTCATGCCACAATCCCTTTTCCTCCATTCTCCTCTCGGGATCTTGGGCACGCACGCACACGCGCCCGGCGTGAGTTTTAAGCCACTGGGTCTGGGACGCGAACCGTGGTCGACTACGTGGGAGTCCAGCGACATAGCCATTACACGAACTGCTGGTTCCCAATGCTCCTTAACTAGTTTTAATGGTTGAATGTTTCTTCATACAATTGCCCCCCTACTCCATTTATTTTGATTCATACTCTCTGCTGGCTGCAGTAAATCATGCAGCAGAGTCTTCAGGGAAGGTTCTAGGCCGATATACTTTCTTTAACCTTGCATATTTGAAAATATCTTCCAGTTATCTACACAAATAACTTGGCAAAGCATACAATTCTTAGTTTGAAATTATTTTCCCTTAAGACTCTGTAGATACTGTTCCATTGTCTTCTAACATTTGGAGTTGCAAGAGAAAAAGCTGACATGAGTCTTACTTTTGCCCTTTACAGGTAACCTGTTTCTTTCTGTCTGGATACTTGCAAAATTTTAACTTTTTTCTTGAAATTTAAAAATGGTACCAGGATATGTCTACTTTTTGCATGTTTTCTGTCAAATTTTAAAAGCACTTTGTGAGCTTTTTCTTTTTGTAGATCTAATTGGTTCTTCAACTCTGGGAAATTTTGTTCAAACAGTTCCTTAGTAATTGTTTCAGCTACTTGTTTTGTCTTCCATTCCAGATAGTCTAATTATGTGTAGATCTCTTGGTCTCTTCTTGTCTTCTTTTATCATGGTTTAGTTTCCCCCTTTCTCTCCATTCTGTGAAAATTTCTCTTGTTTTGCATTTACTTCAGTAATTCAATTTTGTGGCCAGTCCTCCTTGCACATTTCTGTTAACTCTCTCAATTCCCTGATTCGGTCCAAGCGCTCTGATATTACCTTCTTTATTATTGAGCACAGGTGTTTAAGCTCCTGTACCATATGATAGTCGACTCTTTCTGTATCTTGGGTTTCCACCGTCGTATCTGTTTCAAGAGGAGGCATTTTAATTCTGTTCCTTTCTTCAGAACTGCAGTGTAACCACCTTTTCAGTAACTCCTCTTAGGAACGCCGACTAAAACCAAAGACCCAAGATTCTTAAACTTTAATGTTCACCAATTACCTGGAGGAGGAACCAGTAGATGGCATAATGGTTGCATAGCTGGACTCCCACGTAGTCAACTGCAGTTTGAGTCTCGAACCCGGAGGCCTAAAACTCACGCCGGACCCATGTGCTTGCTTGCCCAAAATGCCCAAAATCCCAAAAGGAGAATGGAGAAAAGACTACAGCATGGCATTCCCCCCCGTGGGGGTGATTTCTTGCTTTCTGTCTCTTGTCTATCTGGCAAGTGCACACACCCTATAGCAAAAATCTCTAATAATAAAAAATTAATTAATTAATTAATTAATTAATTAATTACATGGAGGGCTTATCAAAACACAGGTTGCTGGGTACCAGCCTCAGGATTTATGATTGTGCAGATCTGAGGTGGTACCAAATAATTCACATATCTAGTAAGTTTCCTGCTAGTAAGTTGCTGCTGCTCCTCCGGTGATCACATTTGAGAATCACTGGTTTAGGGTAAGACCTACACAACAGACTATGGGGGTCAGAAGTGAAATTCTCCAAGTAATGTCATTGTACAGCCAGGGAAGAAACTCATTCCTTCACACTGCTTACTTTCTAACTACAGGGTAACAAAATATAGAACGATCAGCCTTCTTGAATCAGGATATTTCAGATGAGTGATTGAATGATGAATCGACTTCAGATAGAGTCCCTGGGTGGATCAGATAATCTATGGTAGGTCTGACTTTCATGGAGGGAGAGAATAGTTGGACTAAATTTCTAAATTTTACTATACTGCTCAGTTCCTAAATTTTACTTCTGTTTATCCATTACTTTCCATTTTTCTATGATTGTGGAACTAGAAGAAAATATTTCTGGAATACCATCTGCTAGCTTTACTTCTGGATAGAAGAGCTATCCAGAAAATTTACCAAGTCTGTAATGTCATGGGAACTTAGATGACTCCTGAGCTGAATCTTGCTTTTACTCTGGCTCTGTCTCTACATCTGATGAAATATTTCTATCTTTCTTTCTTCTTTTTTAACTGTCAGAGGATATGTGTGCTTCTCAGAGTGAGAGAGAGAGAGAAACCACCAATAGGGAGGTCACACCATAATCCTTTTTTCTTAATTTCTCCATCTCAGCAAGATTTTGGGCACACATGCACACACTCCTGGCATCTTTCAAGCTATCAGGGCCAGTATTCATACTGGGGTGGGCCGTGTGGGATCTGGCTCCCTTAACCACTGAGCTGTGAGACTTGTTCCAGAAGTAAAGAAATTAAAAATGAACAAACAAAAACACAAGACAGTGACACTGAAGTAAAGAAGTTCTAGACTTTTGGAGCTACTTCAAATATCGTTAGGCAGCTGGACTGCTAGATTTTTATACTCCATATACCAGGGTGCAAGTACCTAAGAGATGTTACATTTTTTCACACTGAAATGATTGATGCTCATCTCTCTCTCTCGCTCTCTCTCTTTTGTCATAGGACATGCATTTTCACCAGAGATGGTTTGGAAGTGAAAAATCATCCCCCCCAGGAAGGATGGCCACACCACAGTCCTTTCTCCTTCCTTCTCCTCTCTTTCTTTCTCTCTCTCTCTCTCTCTCTCCTTCTCTCTCTCTTTTGAGAGATTTTTGCCTTAGGGTGCGTGAGCTCGAAGGAGACAGAGACAGTCAGAAGGAAAGTGAGAAATCATCCCCCAGGGAGATGGCCATGCAGCAATCCCTTCTCTTCCATTCTTCTCCTGGAATCTTGAAAATGGATGCACATACACCTGGCATGAGTTTTAATTAGTAGGTCCAGGACTTGAACTGCTGCTGGCTATGTGGGAATCCAGCACCTCAACCACCACGCCACCTGCTGGCCTCAAGTGATGCTCATTTCTTATGATGCAGGCTGAAATAGTCTTATCTAAAGCCTTACACTAGCCTTCTTTGGAGGGTGGACTACTGATTAGAGTCTTTCCACTGCTCACTATTCACCTTTGTCCCCGATGTGGGACACATCTCTATTTTCTCTCTCCTCTATGTGTGTATCTTCCTCACAGGTCTAGTTCTCTCTACACTTTGGCCTCATTCTGTTTCTAAGAGTTTTATCACGAGGCATGAAAGGCTCTCTCACTTTGCTTTTCTTCAAAAAGTTCTTGGAAAATATGTCTTATAAAGACTATACATGAATTTCAATTTTTTTTTTTTAAAGAGAGGTTTTTGGTATAGGGTGCACAGTACTTGCTGGATAGATAGAGACAGAGAGACAGAAAGCAAGAAATCAACCCCTGGGGAGATGAGCATACCACAATCCCTTCTCCTTTATTCTCTTCTTGGGGACACAGGTACACATGCCCAATGTAAGTTTAAAGCCACCAGGTCTGGGACTCAAACCATGGTCAACCATGTGGAAATGCAGTGATGTAACTATTATGCCATCTACTGGTCCTAGATTTTAATTTTTTTGCATGAAAATAAACGCAGTTTAATTTTTCCACCAACTTTTTAAAAAAGAATTATCTATTTAATTTTATGTATCATCATCATCGTCATCATCATTATTATTAATTTGATCAGAGAAAGACAGAGAAGGAAAGTGATAAAGCAAGCTACCAAGTCAGGGACTCGAACCATGGTTGGCCATGTGGGAGTCCAGTACCTTAACCACCATTTCACCTGCCGGCCTCCCACCAATTTTTTAAAGTCCCCTCTTAGTTCCTGGACCTCAGAGTCAAGTAGTCCCTCGAGTATTTGCTAGTGAATGACTTGGATGGCCTCCATTTGTTCATCTGCTTTGATAATTATCCCTGAACAATCCCTCTGGCCAGTAGAATGAGGTACTCCATCAACCTCAGTGTTGCTTGCTTGTGATTTGTGGGTGGGAAAGGAGTTATCCGAAAAGGTGGTGTGCTTGCTCCAGCACATATACTAATATTGGAGCAAAACAGTAAAGTTAGTGTAGACCCTGGGCAAGGATGATACACGAAGTTTTGAATCATTCTATATATTCTATCTTAATTGTTCTCACTACACCACACACAAACACACACACGCACACACACACACACACACAAAGTAATTATGTGAGGTAATGGTCATATTAATTAGCTTCTTTATAGTGATTGTTTCACAATGCATACATATATAAAACATCAAGTTGTGACACCTGCAGGTGGTGTATTGGTTAAGGTGCTGAACTTCCACATGGCCAACCACAGTTCGAGTCCTGGATCCAGGGACTTGCTTCCTTTGTTTGTTTTTGGAGAGGTTTTTGCTGTAGGGCACGTGCGCTCACCAGGAAGACAGAGAGAGACAGAGAGACAGAAAGTGAGAAATCACCCCATAGGGGGGATGGCCACGCTGCAATCCCTTCTCCTCCATTCTCCTCTCGAGATCTTGAGGATGCATGTACATGCACCCAGTATGAGTTTAAGCCATCAGGTCTGGGACTCGAACCATGGTTGACTACATGGGTGCCCAGCAACATAGCCATTATGCCAACTGCTGGTCCCTGGGGGCTTGAAACTCACACCGGATACATGCACATGTGTGCCCAAAATCCCAAGAGGAGAATGGAGGAGAAGGGAATGTGGTGTCACTAACTCCCCTGGGTGGGGGATGTGATTTCTCACTTTCCCTCTCATTGTCTCTCTCTGTCTCTCTCCAGCGAGCCCAGCACCCTATGTCAAAAACATTAAGAAAAAAATCAAGTTGTATACATTAAATGTACAATTTTTGTCAGTTATACCGCCATGAAGCTGAGGGAGAAAAACAAGGGTGACACCAACTGCCCAAAACTATGGTTGCCACAGTCTCCTGTTCTCGTGTCCCTCCCTTTCGATACATAGATCTTTGGCTTATGTATATTAAATTGAACATTATATTGTAAAAAAAAAAAAAAAGAAAGAAAAGAAAAAAAAATCAAAGCCTTCTATATCTTAAGAGGTTTTTTTTTTTTTTCTGAGAGAGATTTTTGCTATAGGGTGCACGTGCTTGTTGGAGAGACAGAGAGACAGGACATTCGCTTCTTGGGATTTGGGGCATGCATGCACATGCACCCAGTATGAGTTTTTTTTGGGTTTTGCTTTTTTCCCGTCCAGTATGAGTTTTAAGCCACCAGTTCCAGGACTCAAACTGTAGTCGACTACATGGGAACCTAGCGATGTAGCTATTATACCATTTGCTGGTCCTTCCATGTCTTAGATTTTTCAATAGATGGAACCATATAGAATAACTGGCATTAAGAACCTTCTGAGTTTTTTCCTGAAGTCATACCACTGACATAAGAAATCTGAAGTTTTTTTTGAGAGATTTTTGCTATAGGGTCTGTGCGCTTGCCAGAGAGACAGAAAGCGAGAAATCACCCGTGGGGCGGGGGCAGATAGCCACACAGCAATCTGTTCTCCTCTTGGGATTTTGGGCATATATGCACACACACCCAATGTGTGTTTCAAGTCACCGGGTTCAGGACTTGAGCTACAGTCAGCCACATGGGAGTCCAGCACCTTACAAATACTATGCCACCTCCTGCTGCCCCTCCCCCCAAACTGAAGTTTTTTTTGAGCAAATATAGACTAGAAAAAGGTGCCAATGTGTCATCGCAGTGAATATCACAACCAAAATAAATGTTCTTAATCAATACAATTAGCTGAATTTGGGGCTAGGAAAATCAGCCTGTTTACACACTTAATCATCTTCTGTAGGTAAGAAGTTGAGAGATTTTCCAGGTGAATGATGGTCATGATAAATATATCTCTGTCTTGTGGACAATGAAATGATTCAACAAATGCCATATGTAGTGTTTAACTCTCAAGGAGACCGACGGCCTAGTTGGAACACATCCTATTTGATGTGCCTACTGGAGGGTGGAATGAACAGATTGCTGGTAATAGCTCACTCCACATATTGTCTGTCAGACACACAGTGCCAGGTCAAGTACTGGCCACATGCAATATGAACACCATTATTTTCCTACTTCTCTGAGTCACTACAAAGCTTCAGAGAGGAACAAAGAGAATGAGTACAACAACCCTATCCATGACAATAAATTGTGGTATTATATCTGACCATTTTATTATGATGACTAATTTAGAGTGGTGCTGATTTTAAAATGGACAAATAATATCAGTTGCAATTTTAAGTGTTTATAATGGAAGCACTTTGATGCAATTACCAGTGATTTTTCCACCATGAAATTTTATAATTCAATATATGCTGAAGAGGCATGCCATTGTAGCAATATATATGTATTAAACTACTCTTAGATGAGAGATACTGCCCTAGTGTAGGTGATAAGACTGAAATGAAGGTGGAAAAATGGGTGATAAAGTCCAAGTTCTACTAGTGGTCTAGTTGATTGCTGCAAGTTGCAGTTAGGGTACTGAAAATGTATACCATTGGGAATGCATGAACGACGCAGTAACACTACATGAAGTGTGGTATGGGGACCTGCAGAATCTGCGTCACCTGGGAGCTTGTTAAAAATACAAATTATTTGGTCCCACCTCAACCTACTAAATTAGAAATTCTGGGAGCTTGGCCAGAAATCTGTGTTTTACAAGCCTTCCAGGTGCTTCCAGTGCATGCTAAAGTTTGAGAGGGACCATCCTAATCAGTTATGAGCACTCTCCTGATGGCTTGTGAAACAGCCCAAGAAGTAGGACTTGAGGATATAGAAGTACATATCTCTTCCAGCAATAAACCAACTTAATAGACCTCCACTATTACAATGACTTCTTTCACCTATACCTCAAACCTATTATTTATGTTTGCTGAGTTGAAATAATCCCAGTTTCCTCATCAATTAAAAAAAAAAAGCTTCTCAGGTTACTTCTAGAGTTTCATATTCAGTTATATTTAAGTAATGCCATGTAACTTACATGATGCTTTACAAAGGCATTTCTGCTGTATACATATATTCTTCTTTCAAACTTCATTTTTTCAGCTCAGTCACAATGGCACACTCTGCTATGATGCTGTGTTCCACAGGCCAAGACCACATGGGAGGTCTGGGTTTGATTTCAATGAGTCTGTCCTAAAAGCTGTACATGGTGGCATGTGCCTATATTCCCAGCTGGGAGGCTGAGGCAAGAGGATTATGATAGTGGGATTCTGTCTAAAAAAAAGTTCTAGGGCCAGATAGGTGGCATGGTGATTAAGGTGGCTGGATCCCATATGGCCAACTGTGTGGTTCAAGTCCCAGACTTGGTCACTTGAAAAACATACCAGGCATTGGGGCTAGCAGGTGGCATGGTGGTTAAGGGCGCTGGACTCCCACATGGCCAGCCCCAATTCAAGTCCTGGATCTGGCAGCTTGCTTTCTCACTTTCTCTCTCTCTCTCTCTCTCTCTCTCTCTCTCTCTGTCCCTCTCTGGTCAAATTTAAACAAATAAATAAAGTTAAATAATTCTTTTAAAAAAAAGAGGGGAAGAAAGAAAGAAAGAAAGAAAGAAAGAAAGAAAGAAAGAAAGAAAGAAAGAAAGAAAGAAAAACTTACCAAGCATGTATGTGTGCGTGCCTAAAACTGACAGGAGAATGAAGAAGGAACTGTGCTGTAATCATCCCCTCGGGAGGTGTTTTCTTACTCTCTCTGTTTCCAGTGAGTGCATGTATGTACCCCACAGCAATTTTTTTTTAATTCTTTTTTTTTTCACTGTTTTTTATCTCCCCTCCCACAAAGCTGGGAGGCTCAATAGTCAGGCAAGTAGTAGTAAGGCAAGTTTCTTTCAGCATGTACATTAGCCAAAGCTGCATTCACTCTTTATTGTTCATAAATTAAATTGTAGGAGGATAGTTTTTGGATCAGTGATTGATCATAATTGGAAAATATTTAATAAAACTATATTATAATCAATACCCTTTTTCTAGGAGCAGCAGAAGGTATATAAATGGTGACCCGAGGGACCAGCAGTTGGTGTAATGGGTATGTCGCTGGACTCCCATGTAGTCAACCACGGTTCAAGTCCCGGACCCGGTGGCTTAAACTCACACTGGGCACGTGTGCACGCATGCCCAAGATCCTGAGAGGAGAATGGAGGAGAAAGGATTGCAGTGTGGTCAACCTCCTGGGGGATGAGTTCTCTCTTTCTGTCTGTCTTTCTGGTGAGCACACGCTTCCTATAGAGGAAAAAATAAAACCTCTCCAAAAAAAAAAAAAAAAAAACCCCACCAAAAAAAAAAAAAAAAAAACTGGCGACCTGAAGGTTGATAATAATTTAGCATCTAGTTAAGGATAACATATAAACTTGAAAAAATAAATTATGAAATCAGATCCTAACACAAGCGCTATCCCTAGGCACTATATTTTTAATTGGAAAATTCTGTGAAAAGAAAGCAATCACTGGAGTGGTAGTCTGGTAAGACTTCATTCAAGGTTTCTTCCCTGAGCATATGTTCAGGGAATACCTGCTCTAGGAAGGGCCCTGTGCAGGTGCTGAAAAGGCTTTTGAGAAAGGCAATTCAAGGGGCAGGAATAGAACAAGCACAGAATATGACAAGTTTACATACCAGATCTGGTTCCTTTCTCTTTGCACATCTCCAAGGAAATTTCAATTCATGATTGACCACTTGCCAAACCCTGGATAGGAGGCCCTTGGAAGGTCTTTATGTTAATGTACTAGATGGATGATTTTGTTGTTTAAGCTTGGAGCAATGGGTTATGCCCTACCAGCTTGTTAGAATGGCTTTGCATAAACATCAAGACTGATGATCAGGCCAGCTGGTGGCAGCTGGATCCCACATGGCCAACTGCATAGTTTGAATCTTGACCCGGTGGCTTGAAAAGCACACTGGGGGACCACCAGATGGCATAATGGCTATGTCGCTGGACTCCCATGTAGTCAACTGCAGTTGGAGTTCCAGACCCGGTGGCTTAAACTCACACTGGGTGCATGTGTGTGTGTGCCCAAGATCCCAAGAGGAGAATGGAGGAGAAGGGATTGCGGTGTATCCGTTCCTCCCTTGGGGGTGATTTCTCATTTTCTGTTTCTCTGTCTTTCTGGTGAGTGCATG